AGGGTGTGGTATGGCACTGATGAACCACACAACTATCCTCTAGTTCTTTAAGATTTCCTCCCCTTATATTAAGGTCTTTATGGGATATATCTCAATCATGTTACAGACAGTGATGGGAGTAATGGTTACCTGAGGATATGGGAAGTGAGAAGGAGGGATAAGTAGGGAAACGGGAGTTGATAGCACTGATGATTGTATAGCTCCATCTGATGGGACTGAACAGCAGAACCGTATGGGAAGGGAAAGGGTATACTGGAATGAGTAAGATATGTCAGTAAAAAATTATATAAAAAATAATAAATACTATCTGCCTGAAAAGGAAAATTCTGATAATTCAGTCTTACTATCCTTGTTACACTTTCATATTCTCAAGACTTCAGTTATTGCTGATAGAGAACAAAACTGCCAAGACTGTGAAAAGTTAAAAATGATTTGTTGTGGCTGTTCAGGATTTCAAACCTACTAATTCCAAATATCTACCTACTTAAGAAATTAAAAAAAAAAAAGTCTCTAATTTTGATATTTCTTTATTTTCAATCATGGTTATGCAAACCACACACAATTCCATTTATACTGGTTGGGAGAGGGAAGTGAGGATGAGAGGGAGGAAATATTATTTTAATAATAAAGTGAACACTAGTTCTTGTATTCAAATCTTGAGAAGATTTTCATTATTATTGAAATCACCATTTACCTCTACTTTGGTATCATGTTAATTTGGTTTATCCCCTAAAGGAATGAGCTCATGTCAAATCAAAATTATTTCTTTTGTCACTGCTTTCCTGTTTTGAAACAGTGACACATTTTATGCTGTTATCCTTTGATAATATGTGCTTCTTGTAGATGTTCTGTTTATATCAGACCTGAGGGAGTTTCTCTTGGGAGAGAAATAAAATAATACAACTATGCTGTGATTAAGGAGACTTGGCAGTGCAAACACTTAAGTACTCTCTACAAACCAGAAAAGTTGGCGGTTCAAACCCATCCAGTGGCTCTGTGGGATAGGACTTGGTGATGAACCTCTGTAAATGGTGATAACTTAGAACACCCGCTGGGGCAGCTCCACCTGCCACATGGGGTCACTATATGTCTAAATTGGCATGGGAGCACCCAGCAACAACACCTCCAAGGTCTAAATTTTCTTCAGGAAAATATATTGTGTGTGGCTCTTCAGTATTGCCCAAACAACCAGAGGACACGACATAATTGACTTAGCATGAATCTCCCCATCTTTTGAAGTTAATAAACTTCAACCTTTCCTAAATAAATGGCCTACTCTGCACAACACACACCGACTACCACAGATGGGGAGATCTCAGATCTGGCTCCTGAGGGTCCCCAGGCTATCTACCAATAGTGACGCATGCAGCACAAGGGGCAAGACACAGCTAGCTACAACAGGGGCCTGGGCAGGGAAGGGGGTTGGTAATAAAGGATAGGATAGAAAAGGGCTTCTTGGTCAGGAGAAAATACAGAAAAATGAAGTCTTAGTGTATGTTACAACTTCTTCATAGCACAGAACACACTGGGGAAGATGCTTTACATAGACTAAAGCCAGAATATTTTGACTACAAGAGAGTAAGTTAGACCTAGTACAATGGTATTCTGTATCTGGAGCAAATCATTTAGTCTAACCACAATTTTGTGTGCCAAGAGTTATGTATGCACTGAAATTATGCGAGTGCATTGGAAAATGACACATACAAAACTCACACACCATAAAAAAGGAAATCTTTTTATTTCTAATTATAACGAGGTGTGGAAACTGTTCATTTCTACTACAGCTTCACCAGTTGGCAAATAACAGAGATTCCTCGTAGGCCATCAGTGTAATCAGGGTAATTCCCTGGCGTCTTGCTCTCAACCTCATAAATGAGACAGTGAAGTGACCAGCTGCAGCTCCCTCCCTCCCTGCATTCAGCAGGTGTCTACACACTTGCAGTTCTGTATAACTTCACACCAAAGACTGGCAATTGGCCAGGAAGCCCCCACCACAGCATATATTTCCCAAGGTTTCAGATCTGCCATTTACTAATTTAATAATGAACCGATATGTACCTTTAGCATTCTACCAATACCAAACAAATTAAATCCCAATTTAATAAAAGCACTCTCAAACACTTATATATGAAGACATGAACGCTTACAGCCTATACACATTCAAGGAACTCTATGAATAGACTTCCACTTCACTATTCTTAAAATCTCAGAGCTACAATTCTGGTCAGAAAGAGAGGAAACCAGGGATGACTCCCCTGAGAAATCCTATCCTGAACTGAAGAGACTCCTGGAGGCCACCTTTCAACCAAATAAGGAACTAAACCACAGGAAGAATGTGCACATCAAAGCCACACAGACCAAAAGAGCACCACTTGCCTAAAACCAAAGATGAGAAGACAGAGCGGCAAGGAAGCAGAATGAATGGAGGGAGACAGGGAGCCCAGGAAGGAACAGGGAGGGAGGGTGCTGACACACTGTGGGGATTGCAACCAATGTCAGAGAGCAATCTGTCTATGAACTGATTGGGAAAATGAATTTGCTATGGTAACTTTCTCCTAAAGTGTAATTTACAAAATGTTACTTTAAATTATCCTATCCCATCAACTAACAAATAGCAAGAAAGCTTACTGCAAATTTATAGCACCTAAACATGTTTTTGTATTTTGATTCTTCCATTATGCAAGCTGAGGGGCCCTGGTGGCATAGTGGTTACATGTTGGGCCGTTAACTGGGAGGTCTACAGTTCAAAACCTCCAGCTACTCCACAGGAGAAAGATGAGGCTTTCTACCCTGTAAAGAATGACAGTGTACTACAGATAGGAACTGAAAATACAGGGAATCCAGGACGGATGAGCCCTATAGGACCAGTGGTGTGAGTGGCAAAACAGGGAGGGTAAAGGGAGAATGGGTAGGAAAGAGGGAACCGATTACATGGAACTGTGTGTGACCTCCTCCCTGGGGGACAGACAACCGAAAAGGGGATGAAGGGAGACGTCGGACAGGGCAAGCTATGATAAAATACCCATTTATAAACTATCAAGGGCTCATGCGGGAGGGGGGAGCGGGGAGGGAGGGGAAAAATGAGGACCTAATGTCGGGGGCTTAAATGGAGAGAAAATGTTTTGAGAAACGATGTACAAATGTGCTTTACACAATTGATGTGTGTATGGATTGGGATAACAGTTGTATGAGCCCCTAATAAAATGTTAAAAAAAAAAAAAAAGAATGACAGTGTAGAAAACCAACAGGGGCAGTTCTCCTCTGTCCTAAAGGGTCACAATGAATTGACTCCGCAGTGAGTTTGATTCTTTGGATTATCCAAGGCATACATATTGCTAACTGAAAATCAAGAAACGTAATTATAAAACAAAGTATCAACTGATAATACTTTCAACATAGATTGGCACAAACTGTGACAATGATTTTGAGATTCTTGGAGAATGATCTTCATTTTTGTTGTCTCAAGCACAAAGACTTACAACACATAACCACATGGCTCTGCAAACTAGGTGCCTATGTCTTTCTCAGACAGAAGTTTCTAGAAGGAAAGGAAAATACCAATGAAAATACTTCAACAGTTTGGCTAATGCTTAACTTTCAATGGCAGGAGTGTTTCAGAAGGGCAAACCACAGAAAACGGCATGCTAGCCCTTGTATGGTGTTTGGTGGAGTGGAGGGGCAGCAAAAAAGAGGAAGGCTCTCAAGGAGATGGCTTGATACCACGGCTGCATGGTGGGCTCAAGCGCGGGGACAGCCGTGCAGGGGCGCAGGACCAGGCGGGGTTCCATTCTCTTGTGCGTGGGCTGCCAGGGGTCTGCGTCGACTTGATGGCACCTGACACCAACATCGGCCCTTGCACGCTCATACGGTCTTCGTGCATCTCCAGCCTGCCTTTCCACACACGGAGGACTAAAATAGTAGTGATTTACATGGCCAAATCTGAAGATATCTAAGAATGTTAAACCTGTCAACATTTCAAAGGCCCATGAAACCACTGACCTGTTCTTCTCGTTTTGATGGACACCTTTCACAATGCCACCATCCACTATGTAGGGCGACGGAAAAGGATGCACACACCGCAACAGTGTGAATCAAAATGAGATTTGAAGTTTAATCCCCACCCGTCCACTGCTGCCTTTCTGTGACATACAAAGGCAAGGAGAAAACCCCTTTCCATGTAAACTTGTTTTTTTCCCACCAGCAATGTAAACAACTTTTTGGTTTAAAAAAATTTTTTTTTCAACAACTTTTGGAGCAGAAATAAAATTGATTAAAACAAAGATTTATTCAGCATCAATTCCTAGCTAAGGCCATAAATATACTTCATATTGATGTTAAAATGACAAAATATACTTACTGACCTTTGAGCATAGAAAATAAACATAATTGTTTGTTTTGATATAAATGTTAAGCATCATTTGTAGGATAAATAACCTAACTTTGTTCTCAGGTGTTTCAAAAAATAGGTATTTTTATGAAACCGACAAGTATTTTACAAAGAAAAAATAGAGCCTCCAACCTTTAAAAGGCTGTATGTGAAATTCTTGACATTCATCTCCAGGGGTGGAGAAGAGAATGAAATTGTATTGCAGAAAGACTACGGTGTGTGGGTTTTTGTTTTTTTAATAAAGATGTAAAAATTGTGATGCTTATGTGACAAAATGTTACCTGGAGAGCAGGGTTTTGAGTTTGATCACATTATCCTACTATGAAAAAAAGAAAGTAAGAAAAGGAATGATAATGAATGTTCACAAAGCAGCAGAGCCTTCTCGTTTCCCTGTCTTACAGAAAGGGGAGGGAAAGAAAGAGCGGAACAATGCAACAAAGTAAAATCCGAAAGATAAAGGTCCTGATGGCTTCGCTCCCAGTGAATCCTAACGATTCTGAAAGGGGAGTTCAAGCTGCAGTGTGGAGACCTGGGAATGGGGAAAGGATGTGGAAAAGCAAAAAATACGTGCACATATAGTAAGGAAGATCATGTCTAGAAAATATTAACTTACCAGTATGTACTGTAGCTACTGCAATCCATACACACTGTGTGTTGAGCTTTATCTTGCTTTTCTGTTTTTTTGTGGTTGGTTAAGGGTACTTGAGCATCTTCATAATGCTTTTTTGCATGCCCATTCACATACCTGACCAAAAAAATTTTTTAAATTTAATCTAAAATCCAAACATTACCTTGGAAGTTGAAACAGTAAAACAATTAGATGCTAATCAAACCAGAATGCAAAAAGAATACTTTTATAAGAATATTCAATCAGTTAAGGATATGTTAAGCTGAATACTTAAAATAAGCTCTTTTTATGCAACTATTACAGTCAACTTTTAATTATACACAAAACTAGGGCCAGGCAAGGAAAAGCATTATCTATGCAAATCAGCTTCAACACCATTGATGTTATCAATTAGAAGCTCCTTTACTGATGTTTTTGCTATAGCTTTATTTCCTTTTTCGTTAAGCTTTTTCTTAGACCACTAACCACCAATTCAGGCTGTTATCAAAGGGAAGCTTTATAAACGAAATTACTCAACCACTTCCCACAGGGTCACATGCTCTGTTCTGGCCCCTGAAGGTCAGATATGGAAACAAGATAATCTTCCACCTCTTTCTTATCAATATAGCTTTGGATATTTTATATTTGAACATCTGAACTCACACTGAAAGGAGATTGTTAAGAAATGTTCTATATAAAATACAAAATCATTTTAAGCTTATATAAACTGTTATTTCTCTATGTGGGTAAAGGTAATAGAAGGTTGACAATATTCATAAAAATGTGTACAACTTTCCAACCCTGATTTATTAAACCATTATAACAAGCAAAATAGGGGTTGATATGCACACAGTTTGTACCCAAATTCATTCACACCTTCACCTAAATAACATACAATGTTGTAGCGAACCACTAGTCTGGAGAACAAAACAAAAACCCCCAGTCTCTAGATATAAGCCAATCTACAGAGGGCAAGGCCAACTTAAAAAGTTACAACAGTCAAAACAAATGTTGGTTGCGGTAAATGGTATTCAAATAAACAGGTTCAAGGTGAGTGAGGCACGCTCAGGGCACCAGGAGCAACACTTACCTTGGGGAAAGTGGGAAGGCACAAACTGCAGAGCCCAGTCTACGCCAGGAAGGCTGGAAGCATTAAAGGTGCCACTAACCACAACTCAGTCTGATCGTGTTCTTACCCACTACAGTCACAGTAGTAAGCATACTTAACATTTGGGTATACTTGGGTGCTGTCCAAAAGGTGGACTAACATGAATTTTTAAATAGAATAATAAGAGTATAAGCTCAAAAATTAGACTGCCTGGCTTTAAAAGTAGGCTTTGACAATGTCTGGCTATGTGAGTTTTGATGAGTTACTTAACCTCTCTGTGCTTCACTTTTCTCCCCTGTAAAATGGTGATAATAGTACCTGTATCTCATGGACTACCGGGTGATAAAATTAAATAAAAGGTTGCATATGTTAACAATGATATTTTATTATTCCTAACTTTATTCCTAACTATTTATTCAGGATCCAAGCAATATTATTGCTTAGAAAGTGACATTAAGCACATTAAGCAACATAACACTTCAGTGCATAAATCAGAAAACATTCATATTGAACTTAAAAACTAAACTCCATGGTATCATATAAACTCAATATCTAATCAACTCAACTTTCTATACTTATTTATAGTATATTTATAGTACTGTGCATGATAAAAAAAACAATAGCGATGTTCATGGAAGTCTCTTCAGAACCAAAGAAAAGAGTAGTGAACAATATTAAAAAGGGGCATCACCACTATATATAGTGCATATAGTTCAATTTATCACAAAACTCCAGTGTCTAAGTGAACTGTATATTTAAATAGTTACTGCAGATGCCAGTGATAAAATAAGTATGATAAGGCTACTGATTGAGAGTAAGATTAGCAATGCTTTGGCTACTGCCCAATACCAGTCAGAAAATAACAGTTTGTTTAAGTTGGCTAACATAACAAATATTTCCCTTTTCCAATTTTAGATAATAACTAGACAATCTGGCCTATAACACAAAGGAAGTGTCTTATTATATGAAGAGGGTACCCACCCCCCAAAAAAACACAGAACTGTTTTTCAAAGCTCTGTATCTAAATTTCTTTCAAAACAACCTTATCTTCAAAGTACCCTCCATTACACTTCATACATTTGTCAAATCTGCGATTCCATCCTTGGAAACATTTTTCGAACTCATCTGTTTGGATGGCTGACAGGACCTCCCTAGTTTTTTCTTCACCTCTTCTAAGTCCTCAAATCACTGTCCTTTCATGTCCCTCTTCATTTTCAGAAACAAAAAAGTCACACGGTCAAAGGTTAGGTAAGTGAGGTAAGTGGGGCGAGAGGCATGCTGTTTTTTTTGCCCAAAACTGGTGCACCGAGATGGCCGTGTGAACAGGTACATTGTCATGGTGGCAAAATCAGTCCCCCATCTGTCACAAATCAGGCCTTTTTTGTCTCACACTGTCATGCAATCTTTTCAGAACCTCTAAATAGAAAGCTTGATTAACAGTCTGATCTGGTGGAAAGAACTCCAAATGCACTATCCCCCTCAAAACAAAAGAACAAATGAGCATCATCTTGATCTTTGATTTCATTTGATGGGCTTTGGGGTGGGGTGGGGGGGGTAAGGTGACGATGGCATCTTCCACTGGCTTGCCTGATGTTTGCTTTCAGGGTTGTAAGAATAGCACCATGTCTAGTCAACTGTAATGACCTTGGGAAAAAAGCCTAGGGCACTCAGAGCTAGTACTTCATTTCAAAGCAGGGCATGTTTCCAGTCAACACCCTTTTTCCTGGTCAGTCACAATCCGAGGCATAAATTTCGCAGTGACCCTTTCTCATTCCCAAATCTTCCATAAAATTTGCTGAACGGAGCTCCAAGATAGTCCAGATAACTCTATCTGTTCAGTGATCTGTCATTGATCTTCGAACATAGTGCACAAATTTTGTCAACATTTTCATCCCTAAGGGAAGTTGACAGACATCCATAACAATATTTCTCATCAATTGACATTTCACCTTTTTTGAAACAAAACCACTCATACATTTGAGTTTTTCCCATAGCGCTGTCCTTCTATGCTGTGTTCAACATCACAACAGTTTCTGTGGCATTTTTCTTGAGCAGGAAACAAAACTTCCCAGCTGCACGCTGTTCTCTTAAATCAGCCATCACAAAAAACTGATTTTTGGGGGGGGGGGGGGGGAGAATCACTGTGACGAGAGAGACCCTTCCCAGATGATGCCGCTGGGAGCACTAACTCAGAGAAAGTTGCTCAATGCTTGCCTAGTAGGAAAAATGCTTACTATGAAAGCTCCGCCCAGTGGAGTTATTTTAGGGTTATTTTTGGGTAACCCCTTGTATATAAAAACTACAGCTTTCTAACAACCATCTCAAAAATTCAAAAATAACGACTTAGATGTAAAGTTGCCATGAAGCCCAACAAAAATACATAAGCACTTATGGTATTGATAAACTACTCCTAGCTGAAAGAACATCCATTTAAGGGTTCTCTTCCATTGTTGCTACTGCTATTAGGTGCAACAGAGTAAGACATTGCCTAGCTTTGTGCCACACCTCACAATTGTTATGTCTGAGCCCATTGTTGCAGCCACTATGTCCATCCACTTCATTGGGTCTTGTCTTTGTCACTGATCTAACAAGCATGATGTCCTTTTCCAAGGGTGGGTCTCTCCTGATAACATGAAATGAAGTCCTACCATCCTCATTCCTAAGGAGCATTCTGGCTGTACTTCTTCCAAAGCCTATTTGCTTGTCCTGGTGGTCTATGGTACTTTCAATATTCTTTGCCAGCACCCTAATTCAAACATATCGATCTTCTGCAGTCCTCCTTATTCAGTGTCCAACTTTCACATGCATACGAGGCAACGGAAAATACCACAGCTTGAGGCAGGCACACCTTTGCCCTTTCAAGGTCTTGTACACCAGATTTACCCAATGCAATGTGTCATTTGATCTCCTGACTTCTGCTTCCATGAACAGTCATTGTAGATCCGAGTAGGATGAAATCCTTGACGTCGGTCTTTTCTCCATTTATGATGATGTTGTTATTGTCCGTGTTGCAGAGAGAATTTTATCTGTTAACCTGAATTTTTACGATAGTGCAGTCCAAACTGTCCATCAGGTCACACAGCCTGATGATGCTTCCTTAGAGGTGCGGTCTCCTCATACAGAGAAAGTGGGAATCTCTCTCTCTCTGTGACTTTGCCTTCCTACTTGCTGGGACTCTGCCTCCAGGGGTGGCCTCATGTGGGCGCCCAACACCAAGAGCTACTGGAACCCTGCCAAGTTCCCAACAACCTTGGATCCACATGACTCTGCACCCACCAGCCTGTAACCTTCCTGCATTCCGCATCACCTGTCTGCTATGTGAGTCTGAAAAGGGACTTATGGACTAGCTTTGGACTTTTGGACTTGAGTTGGACTGAGCTGGGATGCCTTCTTGATATATAATTACTTCTTGACATAAAGCTCTTTCTTGTACCCAAATGAGTATAACTGAGTTTGTTTCTCTAGACAACCAGGCCTAACCATTATAATTGTGGGCTTTTTTTTCCCTTCACACTGTGTAACCCACACTGAAGGCCTTCTCTCTCGTAGTATGCAAGGTTGTGTCATCTGCATATTACAGGTTGTTATTAAGCCTTTCTCCAATCCTGATACTGAGTTATTTTTTATAATCCAGCTTCTGGGATTATTTGCTCTGCATACAAACCGAATACGTAAGTATGTGAAAGGATACAACCCTCACGCACACCTTTCCTAATTTTAAATCAGAGTATTCCCTCATTCTGTTTGAATGACTCTTTCAGACAAGTGGTTTCAAAATCACTGAGAAATCAGAATGCTTGGCACTCCACCTGCAGGCATACATGTTTCTGGGAAATTAACTTATCCATTTTGAAAAATGGAGATCCAAATTCAGGCTACACTCAATATCTGTTTAATCTACTTAACCTACCTCAGAAACTATGTTGAATTCAAACTATGTTGAATTTCCAAACTTAAAACTGCTTGTAATTGGAAATAGCCCACCTATAGTGCGTAGAATTATTCCAATTTATTTTTCCAAAACATGGAACTGTTTGTTTGCTATTAAGAAAATCAGTCTCTCCAATTCTTTACAGCTTGCCAGGTCTTTTCATGGGCATATGACCTTCAAGATGTAGGTCGTAAAGCACTATGAGACACTAGAGAAAAGAGCCAGATCAATTCTATTGCATTATGATTCTCACCTATCAAAATGTAGGAGAGGAATCTGTCTCTTCAAGTATAGGTTTTATTAAAAAATCATTTTATTTCACATGTAGATTTTAAGTGTTTCTACTTTTCTTCTTCTTTTTTAAAAAAATGTTATCTGTACAAAGTATTTTCAGGTTCTCCAAATCCTAGAGATTTCAAAACCACAACAGCCACAATTAAGACATGTAGTTAACATTTTCCAAAGGTACACTTAAGTGTACATGGACAAAAACTCTTAATTCTAGGACTAAAAATGTGAGAAAATCTAAAGTTAACAGAACAAAGATACTTTTCATGCAATGAAGGTTTAAAAATAACAATGGGGAAATGTTCCAAATAAATCACTATCGATTTCAACCTGTCTGACCAAGTATGATTTCCCATCTGCTAGCTGCTAAGCTATTCATTTCTGAAGCCAATGCAAAGGGTGTTTCTAAGCGAAATGAGTAGTTGAAATAAACGTGCTACAACCAGGCTAAAAATCACAAAGGTTGATATCTCTTCCAGTTTGTCTCAGAAGAAACGAGCTATTAAAGTATTTAAGTAACATTGAGAAGCCAAGCACTGGTAGGAAGTGCTCAGCTTGAACTGGGAAAGAAGAGGGCTCAGTGAATTGGAAGCAACATGCTTCAGTGGAACAAGGAAACATTTGGCACATGTTAGACAGGAATAATGGAACTCCATGGCAAGATCGTTTTTCAAAGGGAATTCCTTTCTCTGTAAATATTTTAGGTGCCCCCCCTCCGCTCTCCGCCCATGAAGATGATATGCCGGGGATTAATTTCAAAATAAACCAGTACGGCTGGGATGGGGTAATGAGTGAGACAAGAAAGGTCATGTGCTGGTAATTGGTGATGCTGGGTGATGAAAGCACAAGGTTCAATTATAGTAATACTCTGCTTTTGTGTGTGTTTAAGATTTTTCTCTAATAAAAGGCTTTTACAAGTAGCATACAATAAACTTTCAAGATTTCCAAGTCCTCATTTCATTTTCCAGTCCAAAATTACTAGATTATCTTTATCATTAATGCAGTTCATCATCTAAGCATAAATATGAAGGACAGCTCCCTCGCTGCGATCTATTGAAAGTCAGCCCTCGACACAAGGGTTTGTAAGAAAAAAACAAAACAAACAAACAACAAAAAAAAAAATAAATAAAAAATAAATATGAAGGAGTTTTCCCTTAGCATTTTCCCAGGTGTATCACAAAACTAAGAAGTTCTAGAGGACGAGGGAAGCCCCATAGAGAATTGCACACTATGATTAGGCAATGGTAACAAGTAAATGCAAACCAATAAAAACTTTGATATAAAGCCTAAAAGTAAATTAAGAAAAAAAAAGCAAACAAGCAAGTAGTGAATAAATATGTCACCTACCTTCCACAGTGGACACTTGAACAAGTCAAACAGACCCAGGGGCTTTTGTTCGACCGGCACACTAATAAAAAGAAAAATACACAATATACCAATTGTTTCATATTATTTCCCAATGTCTCCCCTAATCTGTAATCTCATATCCTGTGATCGAGTTATAAAAGCCATGGCTGCTTAGGTGTACAGAAATCTCAAACCCCTGCTTTGTGAGTGCAATTACACAAAATGGCTGCCTGCTGAAAGCTGTCGTGAAAAGAACCCAAATTCACCTCCACAAGGGCTGCCCACTTTGTGGGTGACTCTGTACTCATACACAAGTTAAACACACAACCACTTCTTCTCCTTGTATCACAATCTGTCAAGTTAACAAGTCTATTTCCCCATTAAAATATTTTGTGAAGGTCGCTTTTTTTTTTAATCAGTTATCTTTGCCATGCAGATCATATAACCCACAGGTACAATGGGGAAGACTAAGCTCAGTTTTCTCAAATTAGGGTCTCAGTGTTACAACATATAATACTGATTATGAGAACTGCACATAACTGTTGCTGAGAGTACACCTGGGTCATAATTACATCAGTTTTAAGTGTTATGAGGGGTAGGGTAGGCCAGAAAGAATATCAAAACTTTAGAAGTATTGATCTCAATTTCACTTGTTTACTCATTTATAAAAATAAAAATCAGTCTATGTAATGACTTTCAAAAGGAGAGGGTCTTAATTGAAAGCACATATGTTCTACCAGGCAGCTATCTAACTGGACCAAGGACAGGAGAACAAAGAACATGGGATTTGGGGGAAAAGCAGCTTTCCAAGTGACTCCCAGGTGGATCCCTTGCGGAGGGAGGGAGCACCGCGGCACAGCCAACACCCTCAGTACAATAAATGCACTGCCTGACACGGAGCAGGGAACAATGTTTGTGGAGACGCAGGTTCTACTTTCTTACAGGGTACCGAGCTCTCGTCAAATCTGGTCCCTACTTAGTTGCCTTATCACAACAGACCCCTCTAACTGTTACAAAAGAAAAAGATAATGGAAGGAGGGAACTCACGGACAAAATAAAGGCCCACACAGTGTGTAAATGTAAAAGAATGCATTTCCATTAAGAAAAACATTAATTTGATAAAACATGTTTAACATTATTCAGGCTTTGAAATATGTTAAACTCATAAATCTGGAACAAAATCCACTATACATAACTCATCAGGAACATTTCTCTCTCTCACTTCCACAGCATTAACTTCTGCTACTGGAGAACGCTCTTTTTATGCAGACGTGAGTTATATAGTAGAGTGTGAAGATGGGAGTTTAGTCAAACAATTAAAATATTTCTGTGAAATGTTTTCAGGAACCCACTGCAAATCCTTTCTAAAACAGAAAGAGTGTTAAGCAAACCAGTCAAAAAATTTTGAAGGCAAAGTAAAAATGCCCTAAGTTTCTTCACACAGATGGACACAACTTAATTTTCAACAATAATTTCAAAATAGCTTTCCTAGAGAGAAGGAAGAAAAGTTTTGTGTAGTAACCTGATACATCTATACATGCAGAACTGGCGAGAAATCGATGTCTTCTCTTAATTAATATATTAATTTTATGACCATTTCCTACTAAACCAGAAGAAGAAAATAGGTGGGCACTCTATGGCCCACTGGCCACACTAGAGAGCTTTTATGAAGGCCTGTCTTGGGGCCAGAAAGATGGAAATTTTGGTTACACCTCTATGTATTGATGCCTGGTGACTCAATTTATCTTTCTTCTTTCTCCTAACATCTTACTTAGACCCAGTAACTCATCTTAATTCTCAATGTTGTTTTTCTGTCTGTTTTCATTCAAGCCTAACTATGGAGCAACTTGAGGAGAAGGAAAAAAATGAAGATGGATTCTTGTATGTGGCCTGCAGCACACTTTGGCTTCTAAGGGCCAGTGCACGGTTTGTGTTTGTGGATCTTGTACAAAGCTGACTGATTTCAATTACTACACAGGTCCCCTTGACGTAGACCCATGAGCGCATTTGTAACTGGATTTGTTTCTTAATAAATTGCAAGGTTTTGTTTCCTAAAACTAGTAAATTATCACAGAGTTTATTTTGAGATTTTCTTTTTGTGCATGCTCATGGCTCTAGTCCCCAGGAACTCACTCCTCTTAGAATCACATTTAATTAAGACATGTCTGCATTGAATGATGTAGGTGGGGTACTAAAGTGACAGGGAGAGCAAGAGATGGTACATTTGTTCAAGATTATGTGAGAAGTGTTAGATGGCATCAATTTTGTGCTCATGTGGAACCTATACATAGACCACAAGATAGTCACTCAGAGAAAGGACATACTGAGTGGTTTAAAATGAGGAAAGGTAAGTGTCCATGCTGTATTCCTTCACCATATTTATTCCATCTGTAAATTTAGCAAATAATTCCAGAAGCTAGATTATAAGAAGCTCATGGCATCAAGAGTGGTGGAAGGCTCATTAACAACTTACGATATGCAGATAACACGATCTTGCTTGCTGAAAGCAAAGGACTTGAACCACTTACTGATGTAAAGACTACAGCCATCAGTATGGATCACACAATGGAAAGCAAACAAGAGTCCTCAAAAATGAATAGACAATAGTATTATGAGGTTGGACTTGTCACACATTTCTTTTTACTTAGACCTGCAATCAGTGACCACAAGACCAGCAGCCAAGAAATCAAATGATATATTACACGAAGCAAATCTGCTGCAAAAGTGTCAAAAAGTAAAGATGCTCCCCTCAAGACAAAGGAGTGCCTGGCCCACATCATGGTAACTGTAACAGTCTCATATGCATGCATAAGCTGGACAATGTAGAAAACTGATGTGTTTGAATTATAATTCTGGTGACGAATATACCCTGCGCTGCCAGAACAGACAAATCTGTTTTGGAAAAAGTACAAACGGAATGTTCTTTAGAAGTGAAGATGATGAGGTTTCATTCCACATGTCAGTAGGTGGGCCAGTCTGGAGAAGGAGATCATGTATGGTAGAGGGTCAGCCAAACAGAGGAGGACCTTCAAGGAGAGGGAATGACACAGTGGCTGCCAAAATGGGCTCAAGTACAGCAACTAATGTGACGACAGCATAGACCTTGGCAGTGTTTTGTCCTGTTATGCAGTAGAACTGAGTCAACAGCAAAGAACAAACTTCAAAGTGTTATCAAGGAAAAGGAAACCATGTAATATTCTTTCTAGCAGTAATGCTACACTTGACCACAGGAGGGTCATTTAATCTCTTAAATGAACAAGGTCTCATATTCTTTTACACGATCATATTTCCTCAAACCAAGATTGTTGAGAATCTTCTAGTTGGATTCCAGTACCTTTCCTCTAAGGCCTTGGGCATCTCAGACTGGATGCTGACCATACCCAAGTTCCCTCCACCTCCTTCTCCTGCAGCTGTGTGTCTGCAGAACTTCCCGCTGGCCTGGCCCTGTTCATACCTCAGCATCAAGCTCCACAAATGAGCAGGAGTGAATAAAAAATTGTGATTCTCTCCTGAGCAAGGGCCATTCTCCAGAAGGTAGAAACTATAACATATGGGTCAGGGGGCACCCATACCCCTTTTCTTTTTCTGAAAGCCCCCAAATGCGTCAGGAAAATGGAAGAGATACAGAGACAGAGGGAAGATCCCCAAGCGATCTATAATGCAGAGTGTTTTACTCCTTACTCTTCCCGGAAGGCAAAGAGCTCTAGTGGTGCAGTGCTTAAAGCACTTGTCTGGTCATGGAGAGGCCAGCCATTTAAACCCTCCAGACATCTGTCACAAGATGTGCCGACCTGCTCCTTAAAGATTCCCAGCTTTGGAAACCCCATGGGTAAGGTGACCAGACGTCCCGCTTTTTAACAATTTTTCCCGCATCCCGCAGCGTTTTAAAAAAGTCCCGATTTTTGGAAAGAATGCACAACAAGCTAGGGTATACGGTTTTCGGCTGCCATGTGGCTATTTCGCCAGGATATGAGTTTCATCAATGGTGTCCCGCTTTTGTCCCGCTTTACCAATGTTAGAATCTGGTCACCCTACCCATGGGGCAATTCTGCATTTTCCTCTGGGCTCCAAGGCACATGGAGAAAAGCTGAAGACCTGGAGGCTCTGCCCTACAAGGGCCTCTGTACACCAGAGTGTTTTCAGGTTGTATTCATAAGACAAGGAGGAGTTCAAATAACAAGACAACTGCACTGAATATAATACTCTTTCTACAGACCAAAGACCGCCACTGAGCTTTAATACCCTCTTAATACTCGCTACACCACAGGTTCTCAAACTTACTTGGTATAGTTCCTCCTTTTCAGAAAAAAATACTCAGTGCCCTCTTGACAATTAAAACTTAGTCGGGGAGGCTATAGCGTAGGACAGGGGTGTCAAACTGGCGGCCACCCCCGAGGTAATATTTTGTGGCCCGCCATGCTCTGAAATAAAATAAAAATAGAAAAAATTGTTATAAAGAAAATAAAGCTTAGGGGAGATTGAGGTAATACCGCACACACAATTCCCTTATTAACGCTTTAACCACTGAAGACGAGTATACATGTGGCCCAGTGCCTTTTCTGGGGGCCTGTGGACATATATAAACACGCTGACTCAGTTTTGGCGACGTTTTGGAAGTAGTATGTCTGCCAATCTTAGTGTCACGTAATGTAAACTGATCCCAATGGCAAAAAGGTTAAAAAGAGCACTCTGGGTTGTGCTGTTATGAATCATACCTTGCGGCAGCGCTAGTTAACATTTTTAGAGAGAAGCCATTACGATTGTGCATCACGTTTGTCAGCTGTCCAACATTTTGAGTTTTTTATTAGTTACTTTGTTATATTTTCCAGTCACAACATAAGAGGTAAGTGAAAACTAGTAGGAGGAAAGCAATGGCAAGTTTTGGGTAAAAAAGAATAATTTTAGTTTTATAAATACATTAAATGTTTAAATAGAAGCAATTACATAGTGTTTTAATTATCCTATCCATATTCCTGAATCCTCACTTCAAAATATAAATTTAACAAAATTCGTAAATGTGATGTGGCCTGCGTGAATCTTTCCTGTTGCACCAAATGGCCC